AATGAGTGTGTTTAAATAACTAGGATTTTCTTTTGTTATAATAAAGTTTCAAAAAATTGTGCTCATGTGAAAATAGTGCATTAGCTATTGGGATCTAGTTTTGTTTGAGCATCAACTTTTAAGCTTCCTTGTTTTTAAAATCCCAGTGTTGCTGCTAATATTTTCTCCTGTCTGTTTAATGGAATTATTGTGTTCTCTTTGACTGTGGAAGCTCCTTTACTACCTACACTTGTGCTTTAGTCAGTGAGGTCTATAGAAATGTTACATTCAATTATTCTCTCTCTCTCATGGGAGTTTTCAGCTGCCTTGAAGTATCCTGTCTTGAATTTTCTCAGTCATGCCATTTGACCTTGGTAGCTTGTTTCACCTTGTAGTTCCCAGATCCACACTGTAATTTTGTATCACCCTTTGGTTATATGACTTCTTTTTAACAGGGAGAAGTATCTTGGAATGGCATCTAGCTTTAGGTTTTCTCATTGAGCTAATATCAATATGATTTGATTGATCCATAAATATGGGCTCTCTTTCTGAATACTGACTAAAACTATGTGCAGGGGGAAGATTGTAAGTAATCCAGAGTTTAACAAAGACATGGGAAATGTTTGTAAACTTGATACAATATGCAATTCTCCATTACCTGTCTCTCTGCATGAAATTGACTTTGGCAATGGAAACCTGAAGCTGGAAACCTACTAACACTTGAGATGTGATTACCAGTGCTCCACAGTGGCTGTTTTTGCACGTCTGCACTATCCCACAGGCTAGTAAGTAGAAGTTAAACAGCAATAATTTAGTAGTTTGCCCCTGAATTAAACAACTGCTAAATTACTGTGGGCTAGTTTATATATATTGCAAAATAGAGTAGTTGTTTGAGAGTGATTGATTGTTTTGTGTCTAATGCACAAATCATGCCCCCCACCCCCTTTAACTTGGTATAATTTGTCCATTTGTCTACATCAGGGTGTGGCAACCCTCTGGGTTGCCATGAGCTCCTTTTAAGGGTGTTGCACAATATTAACACTGTTCGGCATTCGGACATCTGTATGTGATTCACAAGACAAACCCAGAGATTTCAAACAGAAATCCACACTGCCAAAACATTGTGACCTGTTGCAGTCCTTGAGTTTGCAGGAGAATTACTCTCATTTATTTTTCTGTAGTCAAAAAAGCAAAAACTAAAAGCTGACACTTTTCTGATAGGTGCTTTGAGACTGAAAAGGTAAGTATTACAGTACCCTTAAACCACAGGAGATTCCCTATTTACATATTGACTTTGGAGTTCTAGAATCGTGAGACCTTCTGTGCCTTTTGCAAAAATGACTCAACTAAACTATGAATATCTGAATGGCTGGCTTACTCCAAATATATTGAGAAATTTTCAGTTTTAGCTTTTATCTTCTGATGTCTTTTGGGGGAGAGATTAGCTGTTAATCATTTACAGTTTAGTATGCAATGGAAACCTTTTAGTAGGACTTGCAGAGAAAGTTAAGAATTACAGCTTCTTACTGCACTGCAGAGACAGTATGAGGGTTTTGTGGCACTTTATTTTTAGTTGTGAGTAGGTTCAACTATGTGTGGGTGCCATGTTTATGCATGTTCAGTACTGGAGTATCCAGACATTGATGTTCAGCATCTAATAGAATTTAATAAACGCTGCTAAAACAGAAGTTGTTCACCTTATTTTCAAAATACTGATTCTTTGGCTCTTAACCAAATAGCTTTAACTAGATTGTTGTCACAGCGAAGTTTTACTAGTTTGTTCTTCTGTCTTCCATTCCAGTGCTCTTACCAGGAGACCATACTACTTTCTATATATATTCAGTACTTCATCCAGGGGAATCTATGGCAACATTTTAATCGACTTTAGGGACAGGAGGATCTGACCTTACATTCTGCATTTCTCCACTACTTTGCATCTGTCTCCAAGTTGATGCGGGAGAACATAGTGCTAGATAAGATCCTGATATACTTAAGCACTTGCTTAAATCCCTGAGTTCCAAAGCGTAGGCATGCAAGTTCAGCAGAAATTGCGTGTCCTTTGTTGAATTGGGTCCTAAATTGCTGTAACCCTCCATATTGGGAAGTTGACTTTTAAGATTGCCCCCTCTTTCTTTAAGGGAACTGGAGTGGATTGGTTGAAATATTGGAATCCATTTTGGCAGACTGATCTGTCCTGTAGCAGTGCTATTCAAGATGCAGAATGGTGGGAAGAGAAACCTACCATTCTATCGGTTCTTGGGATTGGTCCCAAACAAATGAGTAGCTTCAGGATTTTGATTTGTCTTTTAATTTCCTCTTGGTGCCTGTTTTATAGCTCCAGCTGTTTGCTTGAATACAAATTTCACTACTTCTCATTTTCTTTGATTCAAAGTCTCATGTCTATCTGGCTGATTTTAGTTCTCCTTTTTCAGTTGCTGAAAAACATGGCACTGAAATTCCTAAGTGATAGAGACCGGATCTGGAATGTACATCCTTTTCAACGTGTCTTTTTGGTTAAGTGTGGGGTAAAAAAGTAATGTGCTACTTCTTATTTGGAACATCTCCTCTTCTGGTTAGTCTGACCCCTCTGATCTCTCCCTTCTTATGTGAAACAAGCTGAACACATTTTGTATAGTAACTGACAGCTCTGTTTTAGAGGTATGGAAATTCTGAAAGACAGTTTTATTGGTGTAACAGACGCTATACATCCAGCGCATATTTGGAAAGACAGTTATGTCAAGGAGATAAGTGTTGCATATTTGTGTGTTCCTAGTAACAGTTCTGTGGGAACTATCATTGCTGGGGATTAACTGCAAATTGTTAATTCAGGTAACATGTCTCACTCCCAAGGAAAATAATATGCTAGTTTGTTCTGGCTCAAATTACATAAAGAAAAGGCCTTGACCTGGGGTGGGAACAGGCTAGCACCGGAACAAAGAATTGGCAAACTTCTGCGTGGTCCCTGCCAGGCAGATGATGGATAATACCTGGTAAGTCTGACATGTATAAGCTGTTCACTGAGAAAACGGGCTAAAAAATAATAATGCTTTTGCCCTAACAAGTAGTATTGTGTTACGAAGGTCACTGGTTAACTGTCACTTCCTGAGGGATTGCAGATAAGAAGGTTCTGACCTAAACTCAAGACCTGCTGGGATAATTTGGGTGAATTATAAAGGGATTGCTGTCTGAAAAATTCAGTGTAGGGGGAGAAAATGCAGGCTTCTGCCCCAAGAATGATCTTGTCAAGAGGTCTGAGCCCAAGTGGAATACCGTGAAAGAAATCCCCAGGGATTAAAGGTGACGTTCATCTGGTAACTGGACAGTGACTGACATTGTTCAGGCAGTAAGATGAGCTTGTTAAGGACTCTTGTCTGATAGCATGGCCCAGTTGTAACATCTGCTTGAACACGCTATGAGTGCATGCCTGTCTTTTCCTTTTTTTTTTTAACATAGCTGTGTGTTCTGTACGTCTTCTCTTGGTGGATTTAAAAAAGGAAACAAGTTCATATAAAGACTTTGGATTGATAAATAACAAGAGCAAGAGCAAGTTGACTATACCAATGGAAACATTTGTCATTGCCAGTTCTGATGTTATCAGTATGAACCATCTGAACTCTGCCTTTCTCTTCCTTTGCTGCCCCTGGGGTTTAATGGCTTTGCAGAGAAGTTCCTGCCTGGCATATTGAGCTGCTCCAGAAAGTCTAACTCATAAGCAGTGAGTACTGAACTGCAGCCTAGTAATGCTGTGGGTTTTGACTCATCATGCTGTTTTTAATTGCAGTTCTTCAGAACATAGATAATCTGTGCAGATTATAAGCAGTGTTAGGGAGTCTGTGGGCCTAAACCAGTAAAATGAGTTATTTGTATGGCTACAAAGGGCTGCTCTGCTTTTCTTTTCCTGGCATTAACATTTCTCTTTTGCACATACTGCTTGTATGTAAGCTAGCTTTTGTATGTGGTTCCTGCTGTAGCTGACAAATGTTTCTATACCTCATGTCTGCAGTGACCCATGTTTTGCAGGAAACTTTGAATTCACTGTAAATCAATTCAGAAGCAATTGCAATTGCAGTGTCCTGAAATCAACACCCAATCTTCTTGCTAATATTTTAATTTTTTTTCTGTCACTAGCAAATGGTTAAAGGGCCCTGTCTGCATATACCACAAATATGTAATGTGTCAGAAAAATATTTAAAAAGTTTTATAGGGTTTTCTTTTTTTTTTAAATTCCAGCCTCATTTGGTTTTAAACCACTTTGAGAATGTAAGTGTTTTTGGTAGGCTTAGTTGTTTTTGTTGCTATCTACATCTTTATCTTTTAGACACGGTTAATATTAATGTTAGTAAGAGGTTTCAGATGAACTGTACTGAAAAATGCATTTCTGTTTCCAGAAAAGATTTAGCTCATGCAACTTAAACAGCCTGTTGCTGATCTGTGCTTCAGTCCTGTTTCAGGAGTGTTAATGCCCAGACAATCTTTGCCAAGTTTGAGTATGGACTCAGTTAAGGAAGAAACATTGTGAGAACAGTTATTTAATTTGTAACCTAGAAGAAGGTCATGCCAGGGACAGCAGTGAGGACTCCCAAAATCTGTGGGTAGGGTACTGTGATGGCATTATATGGAACCGCAGCCTAATTTTGTCTTGTATAAATTTAGTGGCTTTCTAAACCAAGGTGAATAAAACTTACAGATGTAGTCCTTCAGGCTGTCTTAGTGTTCTGCCAGATGTTGCTGAGGGGTGCTGTGTATTAAAGAGGGTTAAATTTGCTGCTCCTGTCTATCATCGTTGTTATCTTGATGCTTATTTGAGAATGCAGAGGTACATGTGTGGAACTTGGGGTTCAAAAGCTCTGTACCAAATTAGAGAGTGTGCGCCAAATGCTGCTTTTCCCATCTCTTAGTTCAGCTAGCTCCTTGCTACTGGTGATTTGTATAGATACCCTGCCAGTTAAGAGCTCACCTGTGTTTTACTCCTGAAAACTTCTACCGTATTGATTACAATTATAATGAATTTTTTAGCTCTGCTTTTTTTTTTTTCTTGCCCCAGGTCCAGCAAGACTATGAATCTCTGTTCCAAATGCTTTGCTGGTAAGTGCAGTAAAGGTTTTACTTTTGTTAGACTGTCTAAATCATTGTTGGCATCTCCTTCAGGGTTTATGCATGGGGTTCTGTTTCTTCAGTGTCTGTGTGTGAAATCAGATTCTCTTCACTTTGGTGCTTCATTATTAGCTCAGATTTGTTGAAACAATCTCTAATGTGTGTGTAAAGCAACAGCCTCTTGTGTAAATGCACTGATGGAGCCTTCACTCAGTGAAGTTTACAGAAGTCTGGAATGCCCTTGAACTACAGAATTCCATTCTTGGCACAACTTCTGTAAAGATGACATAGCTTTTGAAGCCTTCCTAGTTTTTAGCCAGTTCTGTCTGGTTTGGAATTTTGAATTTAGCAAGGCACATTTTTACTCTAAAAGTAAACACTGGAATTTGGTGTGGGTGAAAACTGAAAGGGAAAGAGTGGGTATGGAAGTCTGTCTTGTCTCAATTTTAAGACTTAAGTGGTAAAAATTTAAATGATCAGTAGCTGACCAACAGGCAACGCCTAAACTGCATTCTGTTTTAATTTTTGCAAAGTTTTCTTTTGCTTGAGAAGAACCTGTGTTGACCTTTTTGTGCCAGTTTCTCCTAAAGTTTCTGCCCTCTTAGAACAGTTTATTCACATCTTGAAACTTACGTTTTGCCACTAATTATTTTGGTGCCATTTTTTGTCATCATTAAAACTTTT